TGTTGATATTAAGTTAACTTTGTTTTTGTTGTTGAGTTTCTGTTGACGTAGTCTTGTGTTGCTAAGTGAGGTTATTTTGAAATTCTCTTGTGCTTTTAAGTGAGTTTCTGTTGACATTGTATTTGTGGACCTGAGATTCTACTAGCAATGTTTTTTATTGCTGGGTATATACTAACGTTATTTTGTGTTGATGAGTTTCTGTTGACATTACTTTGTGTTTCTGATCTTCTGTTGACATTGCTTTGTGTTGCTGAGTTTCTGTTGACATCGCTTTTTGTTGCTGAGCTACTATTTACATTGTTATGTGTTACTGAGTTTCTGTTGCACATTGACATGTCTTGTAGTGATAAGCTTGTTATGATAATTTTGCCATTATTGTTCCATTGAACTAGCTGTTACGTTAATATTGAAGTAAAAACAAAAAACCTAATGCAGAAAGTCATTATGGTGTGTTTCCTTTTAACTTCCTGAAATGAGAAGATCGAAGTGCATAAATAGGTTCTTCTCTCAAAACTGTAGTCGGATTTTAGTTATACATTTTTTGAGGAAATGATTTAAAATGAAGTTACCTGATATATTTTAGTCAAGATGATAAATGATATGGAAAAGAGGGTTAAGAGGGTTTATAGAGTACGTTGACTAATTGTTAACGAAACACATTGCTGTCAGTGCATACTCATAATTTCTAAAATTTACCTTTGTTAGAAAGGCATAAAAAAGTGCTCTTTGTGAACGATTGCGATTCTGCTGTATCGATTAAAACATTCAAGCGTATTAAGACGTATAGAGACTGAAAAATGGAATTTCAAATGAGCTACGATGAAAACATTCTTAATGTATTAAGACATATAGAGACTTAAAATGGAATTTCAAATGAGCTACGATGAAAACATTATTAATGTATTAAGACGTATAGAGACTGAAAAATGGAATTTCAAATGAGCTACGATGAAAACATTCTTAATGTATTAAGACGTATAGAGACTGAAAAATGGTTTTGTTTGTTATTAAGCACAAGGCTACACAAAGGACTATCTGTGCTGTGCCTACCAAGGATGTCGAAACCCTATTTTTCTCGCTATAAGTCTTCAGACTTATTGCTGAGCCACTAGGGGGAACCGAAAGGTGGAGTTGCACATGATTTAAACGTTCATAACGTATTAAGACGTTTTTAGACCGAAAGATGGAATTTCACATGCACTAAACACAATTCAACCCTTAAGGAAACATAATTTAAAACAAAAAATTAAATATAAACAAATAAGAGGGAGAAGCATTCCAAAATAATATGTTGTTTAATAGTAAATTGACAGACAACGATTTATAAGCATAATGAAGTGGTTAAATTTTGGGGGAACATACTATACGTTTCGACAGAAAATTGGTCTGTCTTCTACCTGACCAATGCTCTGTCAAAACATGTTGTATGTTCCCCAATAATAAAGCCACTTCATCATGCTTATAAATCGTTGTATGTTACTTTATTATTATATTAGCATAACGTACCTCCATACACGAGTATGGTGTTCACACAAAATGTAACTCAAATAATGATATAAAACTTTAGCTAAAAATAAAGAAATGTTTCGGATTCCCTGGCTTTTAATGCAAAATATATTGCCTACATTAAGAAGACTTCCCATTGCAAATTTAATGAAACAAAAGCTGGAATATATAAAAAAGTAAATAGGCTTTTCCTGAAGCATGCGTTTGCATTAATTATTATCACTGAAAAGAAAGGAAAATGGGCTTTCAATACAAAAACATTTTCCTCTTGGAATTTATATATAATCTTTGTACAAATCTGCGAAAATAGGTACATAAAAGTGGGAAGAATTTATGGATCATTAAATGTAAATTCGAAATATTTTTCTGAATAAGTTTTGGCAAGTTACTATATTTTGAAGGATTTATTTAAGTGTATGAGCGGGATGTACGTAAAGTTGAAGTTTGATAATGGACAAGGCATCAGGTTTAATTTCGACACATCAAAAATGAAAAACCATGTTACCTGCCAATATTCGAAGCATTTTGCATTTTAAAATCGATATCGACGAAAAGTTTGAATGTGTGGTTTGCGCATTTTGGGAGTGCAGACATGCAACTTTACAAAGGAGGAACTTAGAAGATGATGATATTTTTTCCGGTTGGAAGCCTATAGATACTGAAGATACATATATAGAGTGAGTAAAGATGTTTTGAGGAATATTAACGATGGTTCATAATCCACGACTTCAATACATTTGAGGAACACGTGTTCACGAGTAAGACTTTCAAACTAATATTTCTTTATTTTCTCTTTTAATATTTTGTTGTTTTCTACAGAATATTTTTGCTGAAGATTGTTTGTTTGTTTTTTGTGTTTTTTTTAATTAAGCACAAAGCTACACAAGGGCTATCTGTGCTCTGCCCTCCACGGATATCGAAACCCGGTTTCTGGCGTTGTAAGTCAGCAGACATACCGATGTGCCATTGGGGGGTTTGCTGAAGATAAAAAGCCAATTGATATTAGGATATTAGGAAATTTACTTGAGAGTCATTATAAAAATCATTAATGAAAATGTTACTATAAAATATGTTACTATAGTTGGAGCTGCTTCTACATGTTCAAGTTCTGTACAAACTGCACCTTGTGCCACTATAATGAGGCATTCCGTTATTGTAAAATATACATATTTTTTCAAATCTAAAAGAGCCTTTCTGTGTAATACTGCATTTGCTTCAGGCAGAATAAAAACTAAAGCCAATTTAGTGGGACAGATGAATAACCACGATAGAAAGATTTGTGTGCTTATTTCTTTCGAAACAGGGCTAATTGTATGTTACAAGTGTATTATTATTGCTTTTTATTTGGCGGCATTGATTTTTCAAGCACGTTTCATTGACTGTAATTTCGCAGACAGAAAAATGGAAATCTCAACATTTTTTGGAAATGAGTTTTATTTATAAGTAGATTTATAAGTTAAACTTACTGCAATGTAGAAACCTATAGAACTTTGGAGTGAAAGTTGAATTGAATTAGTGTTATTACATGTATAACTTTTCTTTATCAAATAATTATATTTTCATGTTAAACTTTCCTACCGTGTCCTCTGTGTTCAATGCATAGCGAAAACCTTTCATCTTCTCTGAAAAATACAGTGTTTTATATTTCGACGCCATTCACCTGGTAGCATCAGACTTTAAACACATACAAGTCACAAAACGTCACACAGCAGGTCATGGCTCGCAGATTCAGAAATTAAATTGATATTTAACTCATTCAAACATTTATTATTGATTTTTGGGCGGCTCCATAAATTCCCCAAATTAGTCAGCTGGATCAAAAATGGAACTCTTTCGCTTTAAAGACAAAAAGATTCTTTAGAATTTAATAATTTAAAATATCATTTTTCGGGATATTCATACATGTCAGTATTTATAATCACACTGTCTTGCTTTGTGAAATAACCATATAGCATAGCAGATTTCATTCAGTAGGTTGAAAGAGATATCTTTTTTGAAAATACGTCGTGTTAAAACGTGATTGTCTTTTTATTTAAAACACTAACATTATAACTTGGTATTAAAAAAATGCTAGGACTGCTGCTTAAACAGTAACTAAAAACTTGATTTTTATATACATCTGTGTTGGATTTTCGTTTGTTTTGTTTTCATACGTTTTTATGGTGCTATATTGTTTGTTTGTTTTTATACGTTTTTGTGGTATTTTATTGTTTGTTTGTTTTTATACACTTCTGTGGTGTTTTATTGTTAGTTTTGTTTTTATACGCTTCTTGTGGTGTTTTATTGTTCGTTTTGTTTTTATACGTTTTTATGGTGGTTTATTTATTGTATCTTTGATACATTTCTTTGGTGTTTTATTGTGTTTCCTACACGTCTGGGATGCTTTATTTATTGTTCATTCTTTAAATCAGAGGCGAAGAGAAGAAAATGAGATATTTGAAGAAATGAGCATTTGCCATATTTCATGAAAAATTTTATGAAATTAATATCTCTAGCAAATACAAGTCGATATTTAAATAATATCTGGTCATTAATATGTGGCGTCAACACGGTAGGACATAGTTTTATTGTTTGGTTTATAATTGCAGTAAAAAAGTACAAAGTTACTTGGGTTTAATAAAGGTTGAAATAACAATCTGTTTGACTGAAAAAATAAAATATTTCCAGAGCAAGTCTTTCATATACTATTCAAACTAATCACGTTGAAGAGAAAAACGTGGGAGAAGAAATGAGAAATAACTCTATAGTTATATTAGTTTATATTTTCAATACTTTAATAAAATGTATTAATTGTTTAAAACATGCCTGCCTAACTAGCGGTCTGCGTTTAGGCATTAATAATCCGTTGACTATAATTATAAAACCATTTTTAAAGAATTCATTACCGATTGTAGTTGTGTAATGACCTGTAGTGTCGTTAATTATTCATCAGTTGATCATGTTGATAGCATTCCTGTTATCTAAAAATATATTTATTTATCTCCTGAGCACTCTTAAACTGCTGGATGTTAACATAAAATATTACACTAATTATGAATAACTTGTTCATGTTGAAATATGGCGTTTTGCTTGCCAAGGAAAATAAGAAAAGTCTTGCTTTAAAGGCTATTACATTGAAGATAAATTTCCAACAATAATTCGTAAACATAAAATTTTTATCAGGTAAGTACTTTTGTAAGTATTGTTTAGTATCGTGTTCACCTGACAGTAAATTGTTGCATGTCTTACTAGTGTATCATACTTTCATTTCAGTGTTAGATCATGAATTGATAATTTAGAATATTTAAAAGTTCACTTTGTTAAGTTTATGATTTCATATAAACATTTTGTACACATCTTTCATTTGAAACTATTATGTTTGATTTGTATTTTAACTGAGTAAATGTTTTACCAAAATGATTTCTTAGGCCATCTTGAGTTTGTGCATTGCAAAATTGAAAAGAAACATGGAAACATTTTTGATTATCACTTATACGTTTCTTACATCGCTTCAGCTGGGTACTGCTGGTTTAAGGTTAACAAGAACGGACGTTGCACAAGATTTTTCGGAGAAGTAACGTCACGTCAGGAATGCTGTTCAGACAACAGAGCCACCACAGCCTGGACATCACAGACCTTAGAGTCCGGACAGCTGTTTTACTTGAGAGTTTTTGGCCGTGGTGTACCTTGTGAGGCTTGTAAAGGTGAGTTTAAGATGAGATAAAAAGTGCTAATACTTATTCTGGAAAAGTCTTGAGCTTTGTAGAGGTTAGTTATAAATAAGATAAGAGTGCTACTATTTATTCTAGAAAATTCTTGAACCTTGTAAAGGTGAGTTATATATAAGATAAAAGTGCTATTGTTTATTCTGGAAAAGTCCTAATCCTTGTAGAGGTGAGTCATATACGATAAAAGTGATAATGCTTGTTCCAAAAGTCTTGAACCTTGTAAGGGTGAAACATTCATAAGATAAAAGTGAGAATGTTTATTCTGGAAAGTCTTAAGCCTTGTAGATGCGAATTCAGGATAACATAAAAAGTTCTAATTTTTATTCTAGAAAAGTTAGTCTGATTAATAGTATTGTATAACATATTTAGACGCATTTTAATTGAACTTGAAGAGCAAACATTTATGATATATAATGTTATTTGTAAAGATACGCTATTGACACATACGTTGTTATGACCAAAACAAGGCACTTTTTAACTAATTATTGTGAATAAGTTTGAATAGAAACAAATATTAAGGTGATTGTAAATATAAAGAAAAGAGTAAAAGAAAGCCCAAATTATTGTCAAAAACATGGACTTGACAACTCTGTGAGTTAAACTTATTTAGTTTTAAACAACATTAGCTATAGATATTCATAAATCATGAACACTTTCGTTCACTTTTCCTATACTTTCCAAATATTCATGACAAAACATTTACTAAGTGAAAGAAAACAACAATTATTAGAAGAAAAAATTAAATAGAACAACATAAAATACTTAAATGTGATTTCATTAAGAACCATTTTCTGGAAAATAATTATGTTCATGTTGTTTTGCTTTTATTTTGCAATAAACTGGCATATATATATATATGCTATGTTATTAGAGCCTTAAAAATCAGTCATTGTGAAAGAAGCCTTATTATTTATTCAAAAGAATAAAGAAAACGTTTTTGTTATTACCACTTACGTCACACAAATTAGTTGCAAGAACACAAGCAAATTTTGCAGTAATCCTCAAAGGCGTTTCTCTGTAAAAACGGGGAAAATATTTTATTGTAATATGTTAAGCTTTAGAACTTACTTGAGACAAAATTGGAAAATGCTGACAAGATGTGAAAGAATTTCAGCAACGACTAGAACTATCAGCAAAGAAAATGCCAGTTTTCTAAGAGAAAATATATATCACATATTAACAACATTATAAAATGGTTGCACGATGTAAAAAATTAAAATGTTGAAACTTTATGCTGTAAAATTAACTTAAACTTTGATTTTACGATAAAAATGTACAAAATTTAGGATTATTATATATATAATTAGATTAGGAGTTTTTAAAATTTTACCAGGTCTACGCAATGAAAATTTAACATGTAATTCAAAACTCAAAAAATAGTAGAACTTCCATTGAAGTTGAACACATAAAACCTATATTGTTAAGTGTAAATAGACAAAAAACAAACTACAACAACAACTTTTGTGTTGGCCGGTAAGAGTCGCTTGCAAAGAACTCGTTTAGTTCATTACCCAATAAAGTCTATTATAGAGAATTCGAACTGTTTATTAACCAGTACAGTCAGTCGCTTACAAACAACTCGGTTAGTTCGTTAGCCAATAAAGTCTATTATAGAGAATTTGAACCGTTTATTAGCCAGTACAGTCAGTTGCTTTACAAAGAACTCGGTTAGCTCGTTAGCCAATAAAGTCTGTTATAGAGAATTCGAACCGTTTATTAGCCAGTACAGTCAGTCGCTTACAAAGAACTCGGTAAGTTCGTTAGCCAATAAAGTCTATTATAGAGAATTCGAACCGTTTATTAGCCAGTACAGTCAGTCGCTTACAAAGAACTCGGTTAGTTCGTTAGCCAATAAAGTCTATTATAGAGAATTCGAACCGTTTATTAGCGAGTACGGTCAGTCGCTTACAAAGAACTCGGTTAGTTCGTTAGCCAATAGTCTATTATAGAGAATTCGAACCGTTCATTAACCAGTACACTTAGTCAATTACAAAGAACTAGACCAATAAACTAACCAGTACAATCACTTACAGGGAACTTAACCAATCTCTTAACCACTACAAAGCATTATAGGGAACTTAACTTGATCATTACCCAGTGCGGTGAAACATAGAGATTGGCCAATTCGTTAGCTATTGTAGCCAATGCAGTCGAGTTCAAAGAACTTGATCAATTCATTAGCCAGTAAAATCCAATATAGAGAACTTGGCCAGTTCATTAATGAATACAGACTGTGAAAGAAATCTTGCCTGGTTCATTACCCAGTACAGTCTATTACAGAGTGCACGACCAATGCGTTAGCTAGTTCATTAAGTTTTCTGTCACGCGTATAATGTAAACATGTAAATTATGTTTTGAAAAATCACAAAACCTTTCTTAAGCAGGTATCGTAGGCATGATCACTACAATGGTAAGTTACTCAATCTGCGTTTATGAACTTGACGGTAAGAAAACACTCGAAGGCTAAACTTGAGGGTTTATGACGTTGAGTTCCTTGCACATATATATTGTTATGAAAAACATAAGTTAGTTACACGACACAAAATAGAAGTATGGTGTTAGAGTGGTTGATATTATCCTAAACAGAAATGGAATTCCCTTGTTATATCCAATAATATAACGTTAACCTATATAACGATATATTTCTTTCTTTAAAAGCGTTGGTTAGATCACATATCTTAAAGATTATCACATTCCGAAAATAACCCGTAGAGACGTTAGGAAGGATCGTAGTGAAGTGATCTCACACACATGTTGGTAGGTAATATTACATAAAATACTTTCGATATATCACAGTTTAAACACTCCATTTTACCAGTTGTTTTATTAAAGTTTGTACCTGATGGTAAAATTACGTTTTTTTTAGAACTATATTTTTCTATTGAATTTACCACTTTTTGTTACGATAAATTTTGAAATATCCTTAGTGTTGAAAAACAAATATATAAACCTGATACTGAAGTTTTTCAATCTCAGCAAAATATTCATCAGGGTTATGAAAGCCGTTTCCTGAGGATAGAAGTAAAAGATTTAATCAATAGGAAAGCAGTCAACGGCTTTTACCAAGAATCATGTCTCATGAAAACACAAAAAAATGTCTGTATTTTATATTTATGTTTACATAACATTAAAAATATGTTCTAGAAAAGAATATTAAAGTAATGAATTGTTGCTAATTAAATACGTAGCAGTTGAAAGGTGATTTAATAATAGTTCAATGTTAGTTGAAGATACTATTTTAAAATATGTTCTAGAAAAGAATATTAAAGTAATGAATTGTTGCTAATTAAATACGTAGCAGTTGAAAGGTGATTTAATA